CAGGGTTTCACGTGCAGCCAACTGGCTGGGTGTCTTCTCTTCCCACTTGAGCTCTCCTGGCAGTAGGGAGGGACTGGCTCTTTCTAGGGACCACAAAATCACCTTGTCTTAAAGCTAAGGGTTGGGGAGGAAACTGAGGCAGAGTTTGAACACTCTGGTCACATAGGTGGCACTTGAATCGTGGTGCTGTGGTCTCCCCCTGCAGCAGGTAGAGGTGAACCCTATCTTGAGACTCGATTTGGTTTGGCTTTGGGGGCAAGTTCAGCTCTCTGCAAACTCCTCCTGCTGTCTCCTAGGGCCGTCTTCTCAACCTGAGCTGCTCCACGGTTCCCACCTTCGTTCTCTCAATCACAGCCACCACTCAGGTCCGTATGCTGCAGGGCCGGGGTGCGAGGGGTGGGGGATGCTCTGGGGCCTTGGACAAGCCTCGGAGTGGGGACGGTATGGAAGAAGCTGGAAACCCGCAGTTGGATGGGTCTTTGGGATGGCGCCGGTGCCAGAGATACCGTAGCCACCACCTCTTGGCTGGGATACAGTTAATGGTGATGTGAGCTTACTGCTGTGGTTACAGCCGGGAGAGCTTTTAAGTGAGCCAGGCTTTGTGGCAGAGCTCCCGCTGTGCTGTAAGCCACTGGAGAGCTCCCCTAGCACAGGTTTAAGCTTACCTCAAAGCAAGGCTTTGCTTTGTCTTCGGACTCTTGATTTCCACATCACTAAAAAAAAACCCAAACAACACCCTAAGGTGAGTTTTGGGGATCTGGAGGCCAGTGATTAAACTGCTCCCCAGCATCAGTGCCGGCTTAGCTGGGTGGACACGGCCCATGTCTTGCACTGTTTGTCTTGACCCTGCCTTTGCAAAGAAAACTATGATTAAATTCGGCTCCGCTCTGAGATCTGCAGTCGGTGCTGGCCGCATGAGCCTCTGCGGCCGGCGTGGAAACACGGAGGGGACTGATGGCGGGGGACTGCGATGGTGGGGGAGGACAGCCACGCTAACGGTGGGGAATTTCCTTTTCCTCACACCTCTCACTCCAAACCGATGGGGACCAGGGCTGTGTTTTGGACCTGGCTCTCAGCTGTGTGAACTGGCGCTCGGGGGAGAGGCAGTTTTATTTCTGCTGAAGGAATGGCCGTGGGTTTTGGAGTGATGCCGCCAGCTTAAAATGAGCAATCCCTTCATTTCCACATGATGCAGCAGCTGAAGGCTTTAAGAGAATTAGAGCTGCTCCCCTCTCCTCCATCTTCGTGTTCTGGTTTTCCCTGGGGCGTTAAGCCCAGATGCTGCAAACAAGCTGGGTGCCATCTCATCTCCCATCTCTCTGGTCCTCCCCCAGCATTAGTGGGATCGTGGAGACCCAGAGGGGGGTGTACCCTTAGGTGGAAGCCTTTCTTTTGAGGCATTTTGGCAGTGCTTGCCCCCTCCCTCAGGCTCCCAAACCCTTATCTCTGCTGCCGAGAGCTTTGTGCCATTGCGGGTGTTTGGCGCTGCCCGGCTTGGTGGCTGTCCCTGACTGTCCCCGGGCTGTCCCCTGTGATCTCTGCAGGCTCTGGCTCTGATTGAGCTCTACAACGCTCCCGAGGGCCGTTACAAACAGGACGTGTACCTGCTGCCGAAGAAGATGGGTGAGTGAAGGGAACCCGGGCTGATTTATCCCCTGGGCTGCCGTGGGCCAGCAGTTTCAGACGTAAGGAGAAACTCAAACCTGGGCTGGAGAAAACTTTCAGGGAGAGGAGGAGTCCAGGGAAGCCAGCAGAGGCAGCAACCTTAAAGCACTTGCAGGTTGTTAGGTTTATTTTCCTTGATACTCTGCAGCGTGGCAGGGGTTCCTTACCCTGCAGACTTCTTGCTCTGAGGCTTTTCGTGCAACCCCTGTGCCTTTCGGTGCACATCCAGCCCTGCTCAGCACCAGGGCTCAGCTCTGCTGGAGGCTTACGTGACGGTGAATCCGTGGTGCTAGGTGGCCAGGACCGCCTAGCCAGACCCAGCGTGGTGCCCTGGCCCTTTCCGCACCCCCTGATCCCCTCTTCCCTCTCCCCCTTCCCAGATGAGTACGTCGCCAGCTTGCATCTGCCTTCGTTTGACGCCCACCTGACAGAACTGACGGACGATCAGGCGAAATACCTGGGACTCAACAAAAACGGGCCTTTCAAACCCAATTACTACAGGTCAGTGCCAGCCGGGGCGGGGAGCCGCAGCCTCAGCACCCAGTGGGTGCAGCTGGGGGCACCTCCTTGCACTGGGACAGCAGCAGCTGCCAGGAGCTGTGTCCCCAAGCACCCATGGCCTCACTGTCCCCTCCCTTCTCTTCCAGATACTGACGGACCATACCCATGAAGGACCAGACCACACAAGGCAACATTAGAACGATTATTTTTAAAGATCATTTTATTTTGGTTTACCTTTTTCTTTTTTTTTTAAAAAACCAACAGAGAAACCTGTTTTTACATTTACCAGTGTGATTTTTAAGGTCACTTTTTTTTTTTTCTCCCCCCTCCCCCCCCTTTTTTTTACACCAAATTGATGCTTCTCAAACAGTTAAATTGCCTGTACACTTCATATCTTGCTATGCTAGCCCCGCTGATTCATCTGGGGAAACAGAAGAAAAAATACACTTGCCTATTTATATGTATGATACGCTGGCTTTATTTCTCTGGGCTGAAACTACCATCGCTAGCAATTCAAGAGACACAGCAGTTAACACCATAAAACAATTTATGTTTCCTGCAATCTAAGACAGGTTTCAAATCAGCAGTGCTGATTTTAAAGCCATTCCATTGATTTA